CCATTGATTATTCTGATTCATTTCCATTATAATCGATAAAGAAGCCGATGAAAAAAAAAATAACATTTCATCGATTTTGTTTGACGGTAACTGTTAGAATCTTTAACCAGTTTTCTTTCATTTGCAAAAAAAATTATAATCGATTTGTTTCATCAGAACTGAATTGATTATCATTGGAATTACTTAGAATCAGAGATAAACGGTGCTGTACTGTGCCATCCCACGTTCTAATGCACACCTATGCAATATTGTGCAAATTAAGCTCGACGAAGCGTATATTGCGCTATCTCATCGTTTTATTCAAGGTAGAACACTACGAAGAAACAATTTCACGTTTTTGAAACGTATTCAACAAGAAATACACGAAACGTGTGAAGCATGACAGTTTGAGCAAGAATGTGGGACAACACCATCTAACTCTGAACAGAAAAATTAATGGAATTATGACTTTTTCGATAAATTTTTGTCATAATCTACCAAAAGCGTATGATTTTAGTTGATTTTTTTAAATTAAATTTTAGTCGATTTAAATCTAATATTTCGTGTCATTTCTTTTCATAGATTCACTCCTATATAGAAAAGTTAAAAAAAAAAATAACGATTACCTTTCTTAATTAGTATGGCAAGTATCAGTTATATACATCATGACAGTGTGATCTATACATTTATTTGACGACAGCACGACACATCAATACATGGATTTTATCGACTCCAATGCAATACAACGAATCATTTACGTCTTCTAACGCAATTAACTTGCATAAATTATATTTCGTCTACAGATGAAAGAAAAAAAATGAATATCAGCGTTCTCTTTCTTTTACTCTTTATTAATAATATATTTTCCGGTGAATACGATTTCTTTCTACTCGTTCATACACAAATTATTTATTTTTCGTTGTTTTTCTCCTTTTCAAATGCCTACTAATCTTGTCTACTTCAGATTTTAGAATTTTTTAAAGATGCAATACGAACAAACGAGTGATAAAGAACCGATTGTACCAATGCAAATGTCACAATCGACAACTAAACAAGGTTACGCACCAAATAATAATGTAAAAAAAACAAGAATAATACTTCTTATTCTTCTCGGAATCCATATGGTAAAAAGAAAAAGTCTATCAAAGAAATTATCCTTTATAATTCTTGTAGGTTTTGGCATTGTTATATTTGATTGAACACATTGTGGCTCTGGTTAAATATTATAATGTGCCCAATGACATTCGTAATCATACTGCAGCCTATTCATACATCGGCAATGCAGTTTCTAGTAAATTTTGTTTTGAAAGATTTTGTTCGATTCCTTTTTTTTTATATTTAATTTTAGGTACTATTTTGGTAATTTATTTAACTCTTTATATCATTGCTGTGGTTAAATATGCTCGAATTGCCATTCTTATTGTATGTTTGATTTTTTCCTTCCATACTATACATGTATACGTATATTATCTTGTTGTTTTGAGTAGTTTGCATGGTTGGGTATCCTTGAATTATTGGCTGTTGTGATTGTCATCATTTTTGCAATTATTGCAATCGTTGCTTTATCAACTATTGCACATAATGCTGCCGTTGGAATTGTTTTTAGTGTGATTCTACTTATTATAGCAGTTCTTACATTTATTTTTACAGTAAGTATTTGTTTTATTTTTTTATTTTTATTTAATATTGCTTCTTTCAGATATTGACAGTTATTTTTTCATTTAAATTGGCCAAATTAATTAAAATTCAAAACAATTATCAATCAATCTAAATTAAACTCATACATATTTCCATATGACTTTTTCATTTTTATTTTATTAATCGAATATTTTTTAACCATTAAATCAAATATTCTTAATCATTTAGAATAAAACGGTTTAGCAGAAAAATCAAATTCAAGAATTAAAAATAACAATAAATACATGAAAATAGAAAACATGGAAAAATATAAATTTATGCTACATAAACTCAGTGCACAACCATTTGACATTCAACTGAACATATTTTTATATATCCGTATCCATATGATAATGAATTTTCTTTTAACAGAAGTAATCGAAATGTTAGTGATTTACAGTAAATGTTAGAAAAAGCTTTAATTTATTGTTCATAAGAAAAGTTAAAAGAAAATCTTCAATGAGAAATAATAGCATAGTGTGATAGTCACCGAAAATATGGTTAATTTATCAATTTCGTTATAGACAAAAGTCGTTATCATATCATTTAGAATAACATGTAAATCTTGGTAACTAGTAATGATTTAGAACACTAACATAGTTTAGAAATGTGTAACATATATAAAAGAATTAAAGTTGAACTTACAGTCTTAATTAATTTGTTGTAAAAGTTTTATAATAACTGAAGAATAAGACTTGTGAACAATTAGGATTTGCTATATTGTTCGATTGTATTCTTCTGTTTATGTTCAATTTCAATGTAGAGATGTACAGGATTACTCTACCTTACAGGGTAGTGTCTGATAAGGGTTAGAAAATTTTTCTAAGTCATGGCATAGAGTACGAACAAAGTTTATCCTTTACATTTACATTTTGATGTGCCATATTTCATTTAAAAAATCCATGATAATTGAATAAAATATGCTGTTTAATTCTTTTGCATATAATATTTTGTTAATAAAAATCACTAGTGAATGATTGAATCTCTAAGATATCAAAGAAGAATTTTATCAGATTCTAGCAAGATCTCATGGTTCCTATTAGGATTATTTTTTGTTGTAAGATTGTGAAACGAATAAAGATTGTTTGAATGGTACAGATGTGAATTCGATTTACATAGAGGATCATTCATCAGATTTGCTTTCTACAAAATATTCTATTGATCCAGTAACATTTTCATGGATAGAGAAAACTTATCATTATCCGAGATCATTTTTCAGCGTTGATCAAGCTTATAATCAGTCTTCTTTGCTTATAAATGACATTTAATCTTAATATTTTTCTTGTAAATATTCAGATCGAAAATTGTATTACTTTAGAATAATTGATGACGTGATTATTAAAAATTTATATTTTACGTGCTGAAATTCTCTCATATTTTCACTAATGATACATACAATCAAGAAGATTATTTATTCGATGAGAAATTGTTATTAAATAATTATTTAATGAAATCCCTATTATTTCTGAGTGTGTGGATATGGATATGTATGACAAAAAGGTTCAAACACGTACACTCACTCCATAATGTTCAAATTTTTTTTAAATTTAATCTTATACAAATTTATTTGCAAAATAGGTTAAGATTGAAACAAACATTCTATAGGTATATATCTATGTCGAGTTATATCTCCATGCTTAAAAAAATATTTTTTCGTGGTGCTTTCGACTTAAGTGTTAAAAAATGAAACACCACTTCGAAAGAAATACTATAGTACTACTAGTATGGTAAAACCATTGCGAATAAGAATATATTCAGTTATTGTTAGGCGCAGTGCACGGACTCTGATGTCTACTTCAATCAAACACAACATTAAAAATAGGAACTTCAAATTTTCGTTCATTTTTTACTGAATACATTTCATTCATAAAGTCTACCTTGTTTATAAATGGACAATCATAGTAAATATAAATCAAAGTCATATCTAGTTTATTGTGAATCATTTCATAAATATACTTCTAAACATGCAATTCTATCTAAGTAAATGGGAAATGAATTTAATCTCCTGAAGGCTAATAGAAAGCATCAAGTCATGGTTTTCAATATGATTATAACATAAATGAGATAGGTTGTGTTTATTAAGGCTGTGGAATTGACGAATTTAGATGTACTATCAAGTAGCTGCCTTGTTCGAGTTCAAAAAAGGACAAAGTTTCAGCGATACTTACATAACTAAAGCTGAAAATAAATTTTTATCTCAATTATAATTATTATGAGTACCACTCTTGTTTACTGTGATGATTGATGTATGAAAATATTCTTTTTAAAGCCTTCATTAAGTCAAAAGACAGACCTAGAATCCATAACTCTGTAAAAGAGTTTTTGATTGCGTAACCGAACTTTTATATCAGTATCGCAATCAATGCTTGTCTATGAGTAAACAGAACAGTTGGTATCGATAGTGTCGTCAACCATACCCACAACCAAACCGAAAATTTAACTTTGGCCGTTCTTACATAAAAGTGTCGATTCGAACTTTTTTCATCTATTTTCGAAGTCATATCCAGTTTATAGAGTTTCGATTATATTCGAACTGGAATTTTCCAGGATATAGAATACGAATCCATACAGAATCGGAAAGGATCGTATACGCTCTGTATTTCTTCGTATAAGATCGTATTCTGGCGTATTGCATGGCTCCGTATTACATAAAAATAGGACAATTTATGGTCGTTTATGAGCGTGCTTATTTAACCTGGGTAGACAAACTCATGGTATTATCAATGCATTCCTCATGTATAATATATTTTAACAAAATCAATCAATTAACTGTCGAAGTTTAGTTTATTCTAATAGTTTTATTTAAGTCAATATTTTTTTAAATCAGGAAAAGATTTGTGTAATGGAATATGAAATTCGTGATGGTCAGTCAGTTGATATAGAACAGATAATAATCTCAAAATGACACATTAAAATTATTTTGATATATCTAACGAACGACATAAAACAAATGGCCGATTTTTTAATTATTTTATTCTTCTATGTTATTGATATTTGAAAGCAATATCTTTCAATACAAAAGAAAAAATTAATTGAAATTGCTATTTTATTACTCATATCACAAGCTTTTTCTTTTTTCTTCTAAACTTATTGAAAAAGGAAAGAAAAAACTGAAACTATGAAACAAATGGATGTGTAATGGACTTTTCTACGAAAAATAAACAACATTAAATAATGATAATCTAGATTATATATTATGATTATCGTTAATAGTCAATCCAACAAAAATAATAAAAGTGACATTAATGCAAGTTAGACTATTTTATATATTGAAACGAAGATTATAATAAGAGAATGAGTAATGTTTTCATGTAAATCAACATAGATTGAGTTCCTTCTTATTTTTATTTTGTTTTTAATTCTAATGGAATAATACAACGTGGAATTTCTATCATTTTATGTAAATTTGCTGCATGTCGTTGATTATAAATCTCTACAACACGTTTTTGTCGATCAGTTAATGTTGTATCATCTTGTTTTGCTTTATTTGATTCAACATAAGTCATAGCCCATTCAAGTTCATCATAAGTAGCTCCTATTTGATCTTCATCTGTTCGAGTATCACCAAAAAGTCCATCTGTTGATGGTGCTATTATTATTTCTTTAGAAACACCTAATGCTGCAGCAACAGTACGTACTTCTGATTTTAATAAATCACCTATTGGACTTAAATCAACACCACCATCACCTTTACAAATTGAAGTTTAAAAAAAAACAACTTTCTTTTTTCAAAATAAATACTCACCATATTTCGTAAAAAATCCAACACCAAAATCTTCAACTTTATTTCCTGTACCAGCAACAAGATAATTTTTAATTGAAGCAAAATAATATAAATTAACCTTACAAAAAGAAAAACAATTCAATAGATGATAAATTGAATAAGAAACAAAAAAGAAATTCTTACCATTCTTAAACGTGATCTCACATTAGCAAATGCAAGTTCTGATGATGAATTTGTTTCATTAACTTCACTTTTTGTAACTGTTTTTTCAAATGTTTCAAAAACATCTGCTAAATTAACTTCAGCTCCACTAACATTTGAAAAATTTGATGTAAGCCAATTGATATGAGTATGACTTCGTTGTATTTCATTTGATGATTGCCGAATAGGCATTTCCAAAACAAGTACTGGCAAACCTGTTCGAGCACATAATGTTGATACAACAGCTGAATCAATACCACCTGATACACCGACAACAAAACCTTTTGTACGACTACCTTGATGATAATCTTTGAGCCATTGTATTATATGTTCAATTACTTTTTCTGTTTGCATATTGCGTTGATCTATAATATGGTAGAATAAGTCGGAAGTCGACAGAAACAATAATATATCGATATATATATATATGTATATAAGAGCGCACACAAACACGATCACGCTCGAGATTTTTTTTCTCTTTTTAATTTCAATGACAAAAAGAAAGGAATATATATATATACAGGAATAGAAAAAACGGCGAGTATTTTTTACTAAAATAAAAAAACACACTTGATCAATAAATGCTACGATCGTTAAATAATAAAATTGAATGCAATCATTCGAAGAAAGAAAAGAAAAGGAAAGAAATCTGTTCGTCAAGAATTTAGCGGCAAAAATTGCTTTACGTTCACTTTTATCAGTATTTTATGATTGAAGGTAAACAGCCGACAGGAAAATTTTTTATTCAAAAAAAAAAAAATCTCTCTTAGAAAGCACAAATAATAACAATGATCTGTAGAAAAAAGAAACTCATTGAGAACAAAATAAAGAAAGTCAACATATATAGATATATATATAAAGAAACAAGAATTGTTGAATCTTCAGAAAATAAGTTAAAAAAATATTTCATAAGTACTTCAGTCTTCTTCCTTTTTTTGGTAGAAACAGTCAAGGACCTACAACAGAAGAAAAACCCACGTAGGACAGAAGAACAAAAATCGTTTTTTTTCTGAAAGAATATGATGAAACAGGAACAATAATGTGTCATAAAAACATATGCAATCGCATTGGTTATTGATATGCAGTGAATTATTTTTTATTTTATTTCGTTGACTGTTTATAAAGGAATTAGATCGAAAACAAAAAACTAACAATAATACTTTAATTACATTTAATTTTTCCATTGAATATATCAGTTAAAGCTTTTTTTTTTAATATAATCCCTATTTATTGATTGGTTTTATTATGTCTTAAGTCAAATTAAGTTGTCTAACAAATGCGAGTAGATTGTGTACAATGATAAATTAATATTTTAATTTTTTTTTTTTACAAATACTACTTCATAAAATCAGTATAGGCTTTAGAATAATTTCATACTGTTTACGTCGAATATTTCTTCTACAGAAGCATTTGAAGAATAACAAGATTATATTTCAGGTGGTGAATCAGCATTTTGAGAGTAACAAGAAAAAAATTTCTTTGGATATTTCGAACAATCTCAAGTCGCATTTTGAATATTTTAAAAATTAGAGTGATTCATGGCATTGCTACCAGTAGTTTTTTATACCTTGAAAAACAATAGATTTTTGTTCAAGATGCTAATTTCAAATTCTTGATTCATGATCATATATTTAGGCAAATGTCATCAATACGATCATGAGCACTAATAAATAAATATTTTGACTATTTCAAGAAACAAAAACTCAGGTGAAAATGTTATTTCAAACAAAGCAAATGGCGAGAAACGAGTTTTTCCATCGATAACTAAAAATCTACTAACTTTTTATAATAAATTTTTTAATCAAATATCTATTAAGTTTGTTGATTCATTAAAATAAATATTGACATATTTCTTGATCACTTTCGAATGAATATATTTGAGTTTTGATATAATATTAAACGCTTTTAAATAATAGATAAAAATGATCTCTGTTCGTATTTGTGAGACATCAAATGGAAATATGTTAAATAAAATGTTAATAGCTCTTCTAAGTTAATCAATTAGACATTGAACTAAAAGATGATAATACTTGTTAATGATGCTATCGAACTACTGAATCAAAACTCTCCTAAAAAAGAGAAATGCAATTTTTCTAGATGAAAATTAAAACTGTATAAGAACTTTTTTCTATAATGTTAACTCAGTTTTACAAAACAAATGCTTATTAAAACGCTTCTAGCAAGACTGATTCTATTTTAAAGATTAAACTATTATAACTAATTTGATGTCAAGCTTGATTTTTAGAAATTTCTTTGATTAATTAAAATAATACGGTCAGTCTTCCACATTTCTCTTTCAATCGACTAACAAAAGAGAGCATGAAATTGTGCACAGTTCTGTGTATTTATTTTGTTTTATTGAATGCAAAACAATAAATTTAAAAATCAAAAATGTCCTTGACGGGAAGAGGAGTGTTAGTCTATTATGTATGGGTATTTAGGATAATAAGTATGGTAACAGTAATTTTTTCTGGTGTATACTCAATATGAAAACTACTAGTGTAGATGGATGCAGATTTTCATGATCTACAAAATGATATACGTATTATTTATGTTTACCGTTAATTTCTCTCTTAGACTATTCAATGTTAAACCGTTTTGATATCAAAACTGTTTAATCCAGAATAATTGAAAAGAGAAATTAACGATAAACATGAACAATATATCACTATGTAGAACAGAAAAACCTGCTTACATCTACTCTATTAAATTCCATGTTGAATTTACAAAAAAAAAAATCATGGCTACCATACTTATTATCTAAAATATGCAAACGTAATAGATCGCCACTTCAGCCTTCGCCAAGGACAGTTTAAATTGTGAAATTTATTGTTTTGCATTCAATCAAACAAAATAAATAACATAGAATTGTACAAAATTTCATGCTCTCTCTTGTTAATCGATTGAAAGTGAAACATGTAGATATGGTAAACTTATGATCTTATCCGAGAGTATCTATTATTAGGAATATAATTATCGCAGTGCATTTTGAAGGTTCTATGCTAATAATTAAAAAGTTGCAAGAATTTCAAATATTTTTGAACAACGAAATACGTTTTCTTTTTTGTTTCTTTTTCTCTTTTCTTCTATACTAGTAAGACTACTTGAAAAGTACCATTGAGAAATGCATTGCATTCTTTTTCAATCTTCCGTTCTCTTTCTCTTCACTTAATAATGAGAACGAAAAAAAAAAAAAAAACTTTAACGAAAAAGAGAAACCATTCTTATGCAATCCATCACATTGAATAATGTCGACTACATTCGATTCACAACTAAAATCAATTCTTCAACCACTGTCATCTATAGATGATGCAAATGGAGATCCTGTACTTGCTGCTGTTCAAGCAAATGATCACAATACTCTTCGAATTCTTGTTCGAGCTGGTTATTCACTTAGTTCCATTGATCCATCAAATGGACGATCTCTTCTTCACATAGCAACATATCTCGGTCATACAGATGTTGTACGACGATTACTTAAAGAAGGAATTAACACATCATTACATGATCGAGATGGAAAAACATGTCTTCATGTTGCAGCTGCATATGGTTATAGTCAAATATTAACATTACTTCTTAAATATGAAACTCATGTTGAACATGTTGATTATGATAATAATACACCATTACATATGTCTTGTAAATTTGGTCATAATGAATGTTGTCGTTTACTTATTTATGCTGGTGCAAATTTAAATGCAATTAATCGAGATGGTGATACTCCATTACATTCTGCTATTCGATATAAACATGCAGGTTTATTAGAAAAAGAAAATTCAAAATAACTAATTTGAAATTCTTGTTTTCTTAGGTTGTACAGCAATATTAATTCATGCTGATGCATCTTTAAATATTCGAAATAGTCATCATGAATTACCTATTGAATTAGCAAGACGTTTAGGTCATCATAAAATCTGTAATATAATCCTTCAGAGTCTTTCATTATTATCACAATCATCAAATCAATCTGAACAAATATCAACTCCAAATTCCTCTATAACATTAAGTGACTTTGAAAAACAATGGCGTCAATTTCATTTACTTATTCAAACACGAATGCTTGCTAATCAACATCAACTTGAAGAACAAATTGATTCATTAAAAGATGCTATGAATAAAAATCAATTAAAACAAGCTATTATTCATCGAAAACTTCAAACATTAACGAACTTATATATTCAACAAAATAAACAAGGACATCAGTATGATACACTATTTTAGAAAAAAAAAATTAAATACTTCTTTCCTATTTCTCGTAAAAATTATAATAAATAAAATTATTTTATGTTAATTTATAATATTGAAAATCGATAATAAAGACAATCATTATTCGTTAGATAGATATCGAAGAATATTCATCATGACATTTGTTCCTGTTTTTTCTTTCGTTCGATTAATAATTGTAATATATATTATCTCTGTATGTTGTAACTCCTTTCACAGTTATGTTTACGCTTACGGAAGAATTTACGTCTTTGGGTAATTCTATAAATATAAATTTATTTTTCTTTTCATGATATTTATTCAGCCACATAGATAAAATTCTAAAACGATGATTAACGGTTTCAAGTAGCTCTATTGATTAAGCTAAATCTATTTGCCTTGTCCTCTTAAAATATCTGAAAACTTCTTGGGAAGTATTCCGAGTGATTCTCAGAGAAATTTTTAAAGAGTACGGAAAACGACAAAATTGGTTGACGAACCATCGGAGACTCTCTAAAGGGATTTATGAGGCAATGTTTCCATCGATTTTATTTGGCATCAATCAATGTGTATGTTTAAAACAGCGAAGTTTCAAAACGAATGCATTTTTTTTTATTGATTTCTTTTCTAAGTGATAAATGTCCGTTGCATACATTTGTTTATCCATTTATGATCAATTGTCATACTTGAAACTAAATTCAATATGTTAATATTTTTGTCTTCCTATCATTCAGTATTTTAATTGGTATTTCGTATTTTTTATTAATATAACTGAAAATTGTAATTTATAATAAAATTATTCAAATCTGAAAAGTATTGTTTTTCCTTATCAACAACATTATTCTTTACCTCCGTAAAGTATATTTATTTTAAGAAAAGTAGAGAAAATCTTTACGTACATCAACTAATAACATACATCATCAAACATTAAAGGCCTTTAAAATACTGCTGCTAGTTTTATGTTTTATCCATATAAATGAATCAAATAAAAAAATAATAAAACATTAAAAGTTGTCCTTATCAATTTCATTCGAACAACTCATATAAGAACAATATTCTCTAGTCGTTCATTTCAATGTAATAAACTAAAATACCTATTTTCCGCGATGATAATCTTCCATCGAAAGGCAAATTTTATGACCAAAAAAAGC